CAGCGAGCAACGCAGGCAGCCAGGGGGCGGCCGCTGACGTTTTTTAATCGGCACCACTTCTTAATTCTTCATCTCCATCATCGCGCGTTGCAGCACTTCTTTTTTGTCTTGACGCGCATACTGAGCACAAGAGAAAGAGAGTAACACGTCTCATAATTAATTACACTGCCATGTGGCTCTCTCTCTCTCTTTCTCTCTCTCTCTCGGCAGCCAAAGCGATGAGTTTTCCACTTTTCCATCAACGTCATCGCACTCGGCCGGGCCTCGCTCGCTCGCTCGCTCTCTCGCATCGCGCACACCCCATCATTTTTTCGTTCCCCAGCTGGAAAAAGCGGCACAAAAGCCCATGAAACAAATAAGCGGCCACCATGTTTGAAGTCATTAATTATGCATTGTTTCGGGAAATTCGCACTTGGCACCTCGAAAATGCCGCAACGCAGGTTTAAAATGATTAAACGCCCGTGAGAAGAAGCGTGTCTGACGAGATGCGTGCCAAAACTGATTAATTATCAATCAACAGCATATAATTCAAATTATTCCAAAAGCTTACTGCAGTAAAATGAAAGTAAATATATCACCTTATTTAGTTAATTGTTTTTCTCTCTCTTGAAAATCGATTAAATGGTTAATATTGAATATAAATTTAAATCGTATTTATGTGAAATTAAAAGATCTTTGTTCTACTTTAATTTTATTGAATTTAAAAAAAGAATTTTAAATTTTTATACAGCTTTCTTGGGACTTTTTTAACTTAAATTTGAGCCGAAAAAGTAAAATTGAGACATTTTTGCCAGTGAAGATTTTTAATTTTTATTTATATTTTTTTTAATTGACACCATAAAATTGAACCTCAATAATCTGAATTTTGCTCCCTCGTTTGATAATTTTAGATATTCGTGCGCGAAGTCCTAAATTTGACTTGTGCGCGGATATTTGGTTTTAAGAGCTTTTCCGCGCGCCTCTCGGCATTGTTTGTATTAATTTGCTTTATGCGTACCCCTGGCAGGCATTAGGTATATTACATTAGGTGGTGTTTCACTTTCCAAGAAAGCCGCGGCTGCAAAGTCCCTTGAAAACAGCGATGCGAGTCTGATTTTCCACACACAAGGAGAGGAATTAACGGCGCTGCAATCAATTCTCATTAGACAAATTGTGCTTTGTGGAGTTGCTGCGAGTTGAAAATCCTTTCGAGCTGCGTCGAAACCCCTCCTCGCTGAATCGCCCGGCCAACGGGTTGTATAATTTGGTGAAAAAGCAGCACAAAGCGCGTGAGCCTGCATATGAAATTGCGCAAAACCGAAACATCATCAGCATGAAACGCTGCTGTGTGCTCTTTTCCCAGTATTTGTCTGCCGAGAGCTATTAAATTCCGCTGCTCGCGCGGCTAATCGGAAAGCGGCGAACGGGAAAAATTTGCAAGTGTCATACCCTACTCTCTGCATAATTAGAGGGAGCTTTGTTCAAACACCAGACATCCTTTTAAAATTTTCAAATTAGTATCGTGAATTTGAAAAGAAAATGAGAAATTTACGAGGCTCAAGATAATGTTTAAAAGTTTATTAGTTGCAAATTGTGTTTTATTACATATTACTCAATAATTAAAATTATTCCAATCGGCACCCCTTTTCAATATATAATTAAATTCAAAATATTTTCATGTATTTCAATCATCAGTTGGAGCCTTTTATTGTGTAATTTTCTGAGAACAATCATTAAATTAATATAAATACGAATTATCACCCCAATCTGCAATAGCGACTGTTTGTGTGAATACAATTGTGACCAAAATCATGTGTTAAATTGAAGGTTTTTTGATGTGTGTATGATGTAAGTGGGCAGTAATTGGCTAATGGTATGTCAATAAAGATATTTAAACTAAATTTTTTTATCTATTTAAGTTATTAATAATATATTATTCACATTTTCCTGAATATAATATTTGTAGCAAATTTTTTGCTGGCAACAACAAGCTGTTAAAAATAAAAAATAAATTATTTTAAATCTTCTTTTTAATTTTGCTTCATAGTCCAAGATTTTCATATTTTTTTCTTTTTAAATGATTTAAAAAATATCAATAAAATAAATCAATTTCTTGTGTCTCTTGATCAATTAGAGTCTATAAATTTTTACCAAGGAATGAAATTTTAAATATGTATATTTAATATATTCTTTTGATTAAAAACTAGATCAGCTGTATCCAAAATTTCGAATTTGCTTCGTCAGTTATCCCAAATGGCTTGAATTTTTAATGATGTTAAATAAACCTCAGAAATTAATTAGATTTTGAGTTAAAGCCGGAAGAGTAAGCACCAGCTGCGGCATAGTTTATCGAATTTAACAACATAATTTGATTTTGCACTCAAGCGATGACCAAAAACGTGTGGGCGCGGCCGTATTTTGATTATTGATGGCAACACGCAAAACCAATTCGCAATGCAAACAGCTTTTAATTACGTCAGCGCAGCCCTTCATCCGTCACCCAACATTCCAAAACAAACACATACGTGAAGTAATAATACGAAGCATTTTAAACAAACAAACAAACCAGCGAAAATCCAACGTTTTAAATGCTACGCTGACCAGCTTGATTAATTGGCCTAATTGCTCATCCGCGATTATGGGACGAATTTGCAGAGGGCGACGCATGACAGTCAACGATATCATCGGCTTGCGCTGCCATAACAATAGTACAAAATATATGCAAAATGTGAAACGGCCGCTTTTGACAGGCCCGGCAGATATGATTTTGCAGATAATCGCGACCGATTTAATATGAATTTCAACCGACACTGGTACGATATGAAAGCGGATGGTGGAGTATAAATTTTTCAGCAGAGCAAAAAGATTTAATTATTCTGTAAAGGAAAAAAATACTTGAATTCAAAATATGAATAAAGAATTTATTATGTCATTGTCTTTTTATCGTTTTAATATGTATACAATAAATATAAGTACATTTAATCTATGTTTCTCTAACTTATCATGCTATTTGGGAGACAAAGAGTTTATTTTATTTTCAATGACTTATTATTTTATAATGTACCAATCGTAAAAATTAAAAAAAAAAACGTTTAAAAGTAATTCAAAATATCAGGAAACTTATTGTGAAAATTTGAAAATATAATAAAAAAAAGTCGTTATTGTCTCTTTCTCGGTTAGAGCATATTAAAAAAACATATATATTTTCTGTGAACTAATGAATAAAGCAAATTAAGGCAGCCGGAAATTAGTATCGAATTATTCTGAAAACATTCTGAAGAAATCTATTCCACAAGTTTTTCTTCTGCTGGCGCTAAATTTTCATTCAACCGAATTTTCTTCAAATTTTCTAACACAAGTCGATTTTCATCCCCTGGTTGCTCCTCACGTTAGACAATTTTCATCTCTCCCGCCGGGTTTACGTCCGTCTTTCAGATTTAATTTTGGCCCTCTCGCTGGAGCGCAGGTGGTGAAAAATTACAGCCGATTAATATCCACGACCCTTTCAAATGCCTGTGCAAATTTTTGAATTCATTTTTTTTATTATTATTTTACGTGCGGCGTGAATCATTGGCGAAATTTTTCAAAGCTGCTATCAAAGTGGCTGCAGCACACCTCGGCTCTTTACACAGGCAAGGGGTAAGTAAATACATCCCCGGGTTATGTATTTGGCGAGACAGGCTTAATCAATCACACGCAGCGGAGAGAGAACGAACGATAGCCGTGCTGGTTCGGAGCTGATGCGGTTCGGCGAGGCTGCTTGTCCGTGATGGTGATAAATGAGCCCGCGAATACATCGATAAATTGGAAAATATGCGCCCCCTCGCACCCCCGCTGCAGCCCAACGCCGCCCCCGCACGCCCTGCAATAGCTGGCAGCGATTTCGCATCGTTTTTCCTCCGTCCGTCGGGGAAAAACGAAGAACGCGATTTGAAAGGAGGAAGCTCAATAAGCTTGTGTTTGCAGAGGCGAGCGTCTTTCTCTACTCCATTTGTTTGCACTGCCCTCACATATACAAACGGGGCTGCAAAAAGAAAATAATAATATAATAAAACGTTCTGCCGCCCGCCACTTGTGCAATTGGGAACATTTGTCTCGGGAAACTCTTCCCGCGGGTGCTAATATGAGAAATTGCTTTTCTGCCTCGCGCTATTGGCACAACACACGGAGAAATTTAGTGTTTTTGTTTTGATATTGGAAGGATGTGTGCCAATTTCAGATACGAAGATTGAAAAAAATAAATGGAGGTGCTGAATCCTCGGCAATTTTTAACAAGTAATATTGTTTTTCCTTCCCTTTCCATGGTAAAATTTCACATAATTTGGTGATTATAAAAGTTCGGAGAATATACAAAGGAACCTTATTTATTTTGAAAATTAGTGATTTTTAATTAATTAAGACTCAAATTTCAGACAAAGGAAGTCTTAAATAACATCCATTTTTAGTGTGCCCAACTGGAATACATCAACATCAATAAAAATAATAATAATTATTTTTTTAAAAAAAAAAAGATTCAACATATATTTTTTTTTTAAATGATTATAAATCAGGTATTTCCAAAAGAGAAAACAAAATAATTCTAGAAAGACTATTTTATTCTAAATAAGTCGCTATTTTCTTGAAGTTTCAATTGAATTTGGAGGAACTATTAGCATTTTGGTCAGCAAATAAAACTTAATATTAAAAATATGAAATGAAAAATGTGAAAAATTTTAGCGTATGGTGCATCGGATGGTGTTTTTGATCTCGGAATTTGTAGCTAAATTCTTGCTAATGGTGGTATCGCTCTTTTCTAACAATTAAATACTTCTCTATCATTTAATTATTTATATAAAGTAATTTGTTTGTATCATTTGGATAATATACAACAATAATAATGATAAAAAGGGACTAAAAATTCTCAAACAGTAAAAAAATTATCATGATATAAGTCATGAAACTTCAAATTAGTCCTAAAATATATCTTACAATCCATATCTTTAAGTGCATTTTAGTGTTAAGGTAAACATAAATATTTTTAAAGATATATATAAAGATAAATATATTAATATAAATACACATTATAAATCAATACATAATTGCTCAATAAAAATAAAAATACGAATAATTTAACAAATTTCTGCAAATGAAGAACCTGATTTTTTTGCAAATCAGAAACAGCAGAGCCACTTTCTCAAACGTCCGACCCCTATGAATGATTTCGTCTCGCGCCTCCTCAGCTCGCTCATTCGGAGTTTTTGCTAGAATAATATTTTGTACTAAATTAATGTTTAATCGTTTTAAACTTCAAACCCAAATCAACATGGCGGCAACGTCATTGAAGAGCATAGCAACATTTTCTGAATCTCTGGCAGAAATTTCCAAAAAATGCGACATGTTGTTGTAGTTGGCAACCAACTCACCGTACGAAGTTGGAATTATTTTGTCAACTTTGTCGCATTTGTTGCCTGGGGGAAAACAAGAGCATTTCCTGGCATAACATTTTTTCTCGAAAAATTAACTTGTAAAACAAAACAAAAAATCTATAAAAAAAAAAGCGAAAGCGTTTCTTACCAACCAGCACCAGCATGTTAAATTCATCGTAAAATCCTTTATCATACATTTCCGTCATCCAGTGAAGAAGATAATCAAAGGTCGGCTGCCTTGTGACGTCATAAACCAAAATCAGAGCGTCAGCGTTCAAATAGAAGCTTGGAGAAATTGAATGCAAGCGCCCTTGTCCTGCATTATCCCAAATATGCAGCTATTTTAAAATTTTTAATAATTTTCATATTACATTTTTTAATTATTTTTAACCTTGACAGTTTCGTCTTCGACTTGGAAAGTTTTCACTGAAAAATCCGAAAAATCTATACTTTCTGTAGAATGGGCCTGGTCAAGCTGGAGGACCTCCCCCTTTATTAATAAATAAGTTTCAAAATTAAGACTCAATTTGAGGCTCACGTACCTGAGTAAATCGCTGCACCAAACTCGACTTGCCAACACCCGAATCACCGATTATAGCGACTTTGAAAATGAATTTCCACTCGTCCATAATAAAAGTTTCCATTTTATCAGAAGAAAAATCACAAGAGGGAAAAATTGATCTGATCTTGTTTGAAGTCGCTGAACAACTGCTACTCTCGGTGCGCATTTCTCTTTTATATCATTTGTTTTGAATTCAATGTGAGAAACACTAATTGAGAGGACAAAGTCTAGTTTACAAACAGACGATATGGATGTTATTATTATTTATTATTGTTGTTGATTGCTTGTCCAATTTTATTTGACAAAAATATTTTTGTATTTATTGCGAGGTTACATACTAAAAAATTGTTAGTGCCTACCGAACGGTCAAAGGTCAATTGTGGCAATGACCAATTTAATTAAAAACAAAGGTACAAATCAAAAATAAATATTATATAAATCATGATCAAGACAGCAATAAAACAACTATAGATATAGAAATGAGGGAATAAATAAAGTAAATAAATATCCTCAAATCTTATTTTCAAAAATCAAAAATTTATATTTGAAAGTATTTTGGCAAAAATTGAAATTTTAACCACATTTGGTTTGACCGGGTTAATAAGAAGTCCTTAAGTAGGATGTACTGAGCCCGATTAAATTTGATCAAAATTGCTCACAATCAGTCTGCAAGAAACATGCGGTGAAAATTATGGCGAAAAGATATGAGGGGCTTGCTTGACCTTTTTTCCCCCGATTTTAACCACGTAAATGGTCAGTATTTGACTCCAGAGTATAACAATCAGCAAAAATCAAACAATGCACCGATTCCAAGATTAGTTGCGCGCTTTTTTCATTGATATTAAAATTATATAAAATATAAAATTAATATACAAATTTTTTCACAAGGAAAACAAATATCCCCCTTTAATGCCACTTGTAACGAAATATTTAAATATTTGCAAAAATATACTATAATCTTTATTCTCTCCTCATCGTAAGTCAGCCCATGGTCCAAGTCTCGAAAAGTGAGGGCAGATGTTGAGCAACAAGATTGACGGCGCACAACTTTTCAGTGTAAATAAGTTTTATTTATTTGGCGCCTCTTCCCGTCCTGTTGCTGCCTAGCGCGACAAAATGTATACGGAATCTAATGCTTTTTGCCAAGTCGGCTCACGGTGCAGAAAAAGTTTCGGGAGGCAAGTGAGAATTTCCTTGTCAGCCGCGTGACACCAGCTTTTTGGTCCGGCTCACAAAAAGGAGCGAAAAACTCTTGCTCGGACGGTGGAGCGGAACGAACGGACGCAGATGGAAGTGGAATTTTTCATCCTTTGTGGGCCGCGAGGTGTTAATAGAGTCTAACCGAAGGATGAACGAACACATCACCTGCGCGTCTCTTCTCTCTCCGTGAAGAATATAAGAAAAGCTGACGCGAAACAATGCGCCCGGAGAGAGCAGCACAAAAAAGTGCCCAGCCAGCCGCGGTGAAATGAATTTTCCTTCGTCTCGGACCGCCGAGGCTCATCATCAGGCTTCTTCTACCGCGTCCTATTTGTCCGCTTTTTGATTTTATACTGAATAAAAGAAATTAAAGGAAAAATCTCACTTTTTGTTCACTTGTTCACTTTTGTTACAGTTGAATTGAGAATTTGAGTTGAAAAAGGAATACCTGCTGGGAATGTTAAAAGGTTAATAATTTATTAAAAAATATATAAATAAAAAAAATTACAAATTTTATAACGTTTCAACAAAACATAAGTGAACTCATATTATAATAATTCATTGATATGCAAACTTCAGAGCAGAGATCTATATAATTAAATTGAAAAATTTCAACACGACTTAATACTGAAAAGGATGATAAAAGATGATGAAAGATTACCTTGAATTAGTTATACATCTTCTTCAACAGTGAACTGAATTTAATTAATTTAAACATTGAATTTTTAATTTAAATTACAATTATGACAAAACTATTTATAATGGATAAAATGTAATAAAATTATTTTAAAATTATTAAAAAAATATTTAAATTTAATATAATATCCAATACGGTTTTGAAAAATTTAAATGATTAATTAATAAGCATATGAACTTTAATTATTTGATGAAATTCAATTTTAATTTCAAGGTTAACTTATGGTGATTTGAATTTAAAATTTGGCTTTCCTCTATGGGTTTTTTGTGAGTTTATTGTTGAAGACAAAACAATATCCTGCTCTACATGATTTGGCTGTGGGCTGCAGCCATAATTCATGAGCTGTGAAAAAAAATAATCTAAAAAACCCATCGAGGAAAAGCCGAATTTTAAATTCAAATCACCATATTTACATCTTGTTTAAAATTTAACAAAATTAAAATAAATCTGTATGTTATAAAAATTGCTTGTTTATTCTATTTCACTCTGTATTTAAAATAAAACTTTGATATATATTCATTTTATTAAATCCAAATAATTCATTCCAGTGGGTATTAAAATTACCTCTTTATTAATTTAGATAAGTATTTTCTATTCTTTTTGTTCAAATTCTTTCACTGCTTAATCTAGAATGAAGGGAATAGTTCATAAAAAATTTCCTTGTTGACTTAAAAATCACCCAAATGAGCAAAATGTGGCACTTTTATTTAGAGTTTCAAATACAACATAATTTGATCATCCTTCAAATTGCGAGGAAATTCCATAAAAAATGACTTTTATGAGAATTAAATCCACCACAAATTTTGGTGCTAAATAAACCAAAAGGGAAGTAATATCCCATCTCATTTTGATATTGCAGAGCACTCTAATACAAAAATCTGCTCATCCGATATTTGGGCGAATCTGTCATTTACGTTGGTGGAAAACCTTCCCGATGGCTGTCAAGTTTGCGGCAAAAAGTTTTCCTTTTCCAACGCACACGTTCGTGCACATGTGCTGCGGATGTAACAGGGCCAAAAAAGAAACATCATTATGCTTTTTTCGTGCGGTTCTACCTCTGCGGTCGACACACGGGAGGATTTTCTCCAAGGCATTTGCTGCCTATATAAATAAGGAATGATCCCACGTCATCGTTATTATCATTATTTCATTGTTACGCACTTTGGTATAGAAGAGGAAAAAAATAGTCAAGCTGCGGCTGCCGGCAAGGAAATTTATTTTTCCTCCGACGGACAAACTGCCTGCTTTTTTCAACTGCCGGAATGCATTTGTAACTCAGCATTCGAGTGTATGTATTTTTATATTCGGGTGGAAAAGTGTCGTAAAAAGAGAGGCAGCAGCTCTCCATAAAGTGGGGAAAGATAACACCTTGAAAAGTGTCCCCGTAGGGACTGCGCCGCCGAAAAAAAACTTTTCGCTCTTTTTCTCCGACTTTTCTTGTTGGAGGAAAATTCTTCCGCAGCTGCGAACGCCAAGGGAAAAGGAGTGTGTAAATATTTTGGCTCCCGACGCGGCTGACTAATTTTCCTAATGTAAGGAATGACAGATGCGAACCGCCATCCCAGACGGTGCCTCTTTTCAGGCGTTTAGAACTCTGATTTTCCTCATTTTATTTATGGATATGGATGAGTGGTGCTAAAAATGGAAGCGGCGAATAATAAACGCTCCTCGCACACGTTTAAAAAGTTCTTTGTTATTTGTCATGCTGAAAAGAAATCATGGTTTTTCACCCACAGCTTTTGAGTTCAAACAGTTCTATTTCAGGACTTTTTTTTAATTAAAAACGGGTATTTTATTTTAAATATTATTTTTGAAAAATATAACAATATTTTGACAGATTCTAGAATTAAAATAAATTATTTATAATTTTCTTTGCTTTATTGGTGAAATTAGAAAGCAGGAAAATTCTAGCAGGTTTGGTGCTTATCCTTTTGCTATTTAACCTTACCTAATAATTTATTTGATTTTTAACCATTCAAATTTTTATATTATTTTCTTAATATTTACTTATTTAGTATACAAAGAGAAAATATTTATCCTTCGTATTCATTCTTAAATTTATAACATTAAGGTAAGGTACCAAAGCAATTTTACACATTATATATAAATATATTTTTAAATACATTTTTTTATATACATATTGCTATAAACGGCAAAAGATAAATTATTGAAATTTAGAAAGAATTAAAAAAAGAATTACAATTAAATAATTATAATGAATTAAATTGGTAAGAAAGTTTTTAACTTATTTATAAGCTAATTAAAACATTTTAAAAAGTATGAAAAACGTAAGAATGCATACAAATTTTGCTTACAATTAGATATAAAGAAAAGCTATATATTATAAATTTAAACTAATAACTTTTGTTGTGAATTTTTCAAATTTATGAACACCTGATATTGGCTTTGGAAAAGGCAATACATGAAAAAATTGTAATGATGAAAATAATTTCTGAACATATTTTAAATATATCTTTTCTGATAGAGAATTAAAAAACATCTTTTATTAATGAAAATAGGAAAAAAATGGTCAAAGGACAAATTCTAAATTGAGATGTGAACATTCGCAACAACAAACATTAATCTTGTGAGGTCAAAAGAGAAGTGACGTGAGTTGCTTTTGTGTTCCTGTGTGATTATGATTATTGCCCGAAAGCCAGCGCAAAGTCACGGCTTTCTGAGCAACAATCAAAAACATAAGGAACCGCAGAGAGATTGCTGCCGTGTGGTCCTGATTTCGTTGCTCGTCTCCTTTGTGATTTTTCCCCGCTTTCTTGAAAATCTCCTTTCGGCTGCAGGCGCCGAGAGAGAGAAAAATCCACTTTTCTTTCTTCCTTTTTGTCCACGTCGCTTGGATAATTTGTTGTATGCCGTGGAAAATGAAAAGAAAAGTTGCTGCCAGTTAAATTATGAGGTGCAGTCTCGAAGACAAAGTAGTCGAGGCAAAGGGAGCAGATAAATAATATAAGAGGATTTGGCCTCTCTTGAGTTTGAGCAAATTTCCTCCCTCGCCGCCGCCCTCTGTGCCCGTCACGTTTATTTATTTTCCAGCAAAAGCGAAGCGAACAAAAGAGCGCCCCGTTGACGCTTAGATTGCGTAAAATCAATACAAGTGTGATGGAAACGAAGACTTGAAATAATTTTGGGGGCGAAATCATCCTGGAAAGTTGAAGAGGAAAGTTTTAAATTTAGATAAAGTAAAAAAATCAATACTGTATTTTCGGAGGAAACA